CAGTTGAATTTATCCTTTGAGTATTGTTCATCTAATCTTTACAGAGTTTTTCCAAAACACTTTCAAACATTCAGATCTGTCTTTCATTTTCTTCTTGAAACCTCATGAACGGTGAACTAAAAACTCTGGAACATGGTTTGAAACACTGAAATTGTTTCAGCTGAAACTGGCAAGTCATACGTGCATGTGTGAGAGTCACAGGTTATATGGTGTCACTAGTCACAGGTTATATGGTGTCACTAGTCCGGTCATCATGCTCATTCACTCCAGAATTATTTAGGCCAAATCTTTAAAACTGTGTCATTGCACACACTTTTCAATCACACAAATGCAGGATTAAAGACAATAATTCCCAAAAAGTGTGCCATGAAGCAACTCCAGGTGTTTCATGGGTATTCGTGATAACAATCCCATATATAAAGTTCTGAGTGAACTGTTAATATAGTGCATGAGTACTTTGTGCACAGAACCCAATCCATTTGTGCAGTTTCTGGATGCTAGAACATAATAGGTGTATTACACATCCAAAGGTCCTGATTATAGCAAGGAGAAAAACAAAGGGGAACTTAATATGTCATAAAAACCAAAAACTAACAAGGAGTGCATGATCATCGACCAAAAGAAATGATTAAAGAAACAATCTAATGGCCAGAATCACCAAGACTATAACTTCTATGACATCAGGTGGATTGGGGATTTCAACAGCCCTTAGCTCAAATGTCACAGCCAAACTGTTTAATTTCAGGCTTCAAAGTGTGTGTGAACAAACCAGTGTGCGATTTCATCTTACCTACATCCATCTTTTATATGGGTCTATATAACCAAGCTGACCTTTTTGAGCCTTTGGGTTGGACTGCACCTCCAGTACCACGGTGGTGACAGCATCAGCATACATGTCATTTAGAGGGTTAGCTATCCACTGAAACAGCAGATAAAGACAAATTAATAAAACACAAGTCCCAAGCTGTCTCTGAGCATCACAACGTACACTCCCTTTAAAAATATGTGGCTAGGAGCAGAAATAACCAATCATAAAGTTGTCCCTTAGATTTTATATGGCTACAAAGGAGAGTGATCCAGTCAATAGTCTGCACCGAACCAAACCCAGGATTGTAGTTCACTGGACACATGCACGTGGAAAGCAGCAGAAAACATAAATGAGTAGTTGCTATTACGTGGCACACTGGTGCAGTGTTCACCTTCTTACCTTGTTAAAAGGATTATTAGAGTGTTTCAGTGATATCAAACCCTGTGTCTATCCTCTAAAGAAATACATTTAGGACTCCCAGTTTTGCACACTGGTGTGAAAAGCACAGCGCTACGTTGTGGGCTCTCACCTCTAGCAGCACCATGCCGGCCTCTTGGATTAGAGTGATGTTTTTAAAGATCTTCAAAGTGTTCTTCTCAGTTCCGTCCAGCTCTTCAACATCACCTGAGAAAGACGGTCACCACTACGGGGTAAAAATCACTCACACGCTGACAAAACTCAAAAGGTTGCAGTACGTGTCAAACTGCAACAATGTGGGCAGTTGTGTTTTTTTGTTTCTTTTTATGAGTTTGGATGGTCTCAGAGAGTCTACTGATGCATGATGGTCATCGAGATTCCCACAGAAATGGTCACGCAGTCTTACCTGTGAGATTCCTCAGATGGCAGACAAGCAGTGAGTAGGGTCCAGTGAAGGGGATGGCCTGGGTCTGTTTCACTGTACTCATGGCCAGCTCTGTGTACGCTGCAGAACAGACAGATCAGGTCAGTACAGCTCTGAGAGGCGCAATGTTTCATTCATTCAGTCTACTACTGGATTAGTTTTGAGGCCAAATACCCCAAAACAATGAGAGAGCCATGAAGCATTAACGCTACTAAAATGCTTTGGTGGCCCTGTTCTCCATCTGGGGACAATGAAAGTGAACTTACTGGAAAGGTCAGAGGGATTGAGGATGTGGTAGTTGAAATTCTTCTTCACCAGTATGCCTGATACCCTTTGACCCTGAACACACTTCTTATCAGCCAGTGAGCCCATCACCTGAGAAGAGAAGTGTATTCATTTTCAGTGGATTTGTCATTTTTAACAGTGTCATTAAAAAGCATACGCACAATTCAGCGACTGCTGATCACAAAAAGCGTACTGCACCTTAGCCAGCTTCTCTCCTCTGAAGTTCAGCGTGACAGCCTCAGTGTTGCGAGGGTTGTGGACTTCGATGTGAACCTCGTCGTTATCCTCGTACTCTCTGATCAGCGCGGCTTTCAGGCGCGCCATCTCATTCTGCTCCCCATGTACCAGGATCTGAAATTAAACATGTGCAACATTTTATGCAAAGGACAAAAAAAGATGAGTCAAGAGAACTGTGAATTTCACCACACTGCTTTCTTCTCATACCACATGTGGCGGTTTGAGGGCTCTGATGAACTCGCTGGTCTGCTGGTAATCAGTGTGGGCGGAGAAGGAGATGTAGTCCACCGACATCTTTAGCTGCAGCTTCTGTCCCGACATGGTGGTGATCTCCTCGGGCTCAGACATGATGTGCTGTAGAGTGTGCACAGCGGGAAATAACTGAGGACTGATTTTACAATTATCTTCTTGATAAATCATTTAGTCAGTGAAATGATTTAGAAAATAGAATCATTAGAAAATGGCACGTAAATTGCTTTTAGAGCCTTCAGTTTGATTGCTTTGCCAAATTAATGACCTAAAAACGTCACATGTTCGATTCATTTTTATTAGAGAAAATGAACAAAGAACACTGAAAACTTTTTTTCCTTCTTCTTGTGGCAACTTAATTTCTTTTCTTTAAAAAATGAGTAATTCCTGTCTTTTGTCACAGCTTCTGAGTTTTAAATTTGATGGCTTGAAAATTGCTGTAAATAACGGCAATCTGGTGCAATTGAATCAGCATATCGATTATTAGATCACAGCATCTTTTCCCACTTTGCTAAGAAATTTTTTTTTTCTGTCCCGCTGTGCTCTAACCTTGGCGAGTGTGCCCTCCACGCAGTAACCGGCTATGATAACTCCATTCCTCTTGTCGGTGCACCAGCTCTCAAAGAGTTCCCTGGAGAGCCCGCTCTGCATCATGCCCGGAGACGCCATCACCACGCTGGGGCCAATATCATCAAAGTGATCCATGCTCTGGAAAGAATAGACAGTGCTGCTTTATTTTGGAGAGAGGCAGTCAAGCCTGAGAATATGCACAGGGTTTCTGTGACAGTCTCTACCTTCAGATTGCTGATATGCTTGAAGACAAAAGGGTTGTTGATATTTATGGCCTTGCGGATCTTGTCGTTCATTGCGTTAACATATGTCTGGTACACAGCCATGCACTTCTTGGCCAGGGAAGAAGCATAATAGATGGGGATGTCATGGAGCTCTGGGTGATTCTGCCAGTACTCGTCTGCAAGAGAACATTAAACCCAATCTTACAGACTTCTATGAGTGATAATGGGATAAAGAGAAGACAAATAACCAAAGTCATAACTATCAGAGGAAATCCAGTGCTAAACATAAATTTGAACATTGAGGTTAACAATATTGACACACATTATCACATTTTCAGTATCAGGGAGTCAAACATGACTTCTAACCCAAGATAAGCAGCAGTTCCTGTGCTCGTCCCAAAGCAAACACAGGGATTAAACAGCGACCCTCTCTGTTGACAATGTCATGGACGGTGTTACAGAACCGAGCTTCTCGCTCTTCCCTTTTTTCATGGATGTGAGT